GCATTAGATTTTTAAACATCCAGTATTTTGTTCTTTCATGGTGGAATGAATCCAGATCTCAAAGCACAGATTTCACTTGCAATACACAAAGTGTTGGGACATTAAAACACATTTTGGAAATGGACCTAAAAACACCTTACAAAGCTCCATGGAAAAAATCAAATGGCTTCTGAAGCAGAATTGTGGGGGGATTTTGTTACTTTCACAGTCAAGAACCACTCAGAAGAATCTTGTTTCCTCTCTGAGTTGTGTTTAGAGATGAGGGGAGTTACTAAACCTGGAAAGGTGCTACTTCAGACAAAGCTTAGACTCACCACTCAACACCAGGAGTAAAAGGTGCCCTGAATTATTTAAACATCCCCAAGAGCCCACAGGCAGACTGGGACACAGGCAAACCATGAAAAGCCATTATTTGGGGTATAAATAGAGGGAGGCTCTGAGCTGGCACTGCTGAGCTCCTCAGCCCAGCCCTGGATACTCACGGGAGACGCTGAAGCCGAAGATGTTCTCATAATCTTTGAGCAATTTCTTTAACAAAGTGCTTTTCCCTGCACCTGATGGGCCACTCAGAACCACTGGCCTTGGTCCCTGCATGACTGAGGAGAGACAGAAAAATGTGTCTGGTGAGAAACACCCATGGAAGCTCAGCTGTGGAATCCCAGGAGTGCTCAGCCCCTCAAAACAGCACCAATCCTTTACCCTTGGGTACAAATGTCTGCAGGAAAATCTGAAATGATGTCAAATCACAAGCCTAGAGCTGATAAAAAGTACTGGGAGTGCAGAAACATTTCTCAAGAGACTGAGGTTAAACTCATAGGATGTAACCCAAAGAAGGAGGAAACTGGGATGGCTGAAGCCAGCTGTTTTCCATCACAGCTGGGTCTCACTGGGACCAAAATCCCAAGGAAAACTCTCTAAAAGGAACAAAATCCTATTTGTGCCTGGTGGCATTTGGAATCATGGGACAGAGGAACAGTCCCAGCCCATTCCCTCTCACAGGGGGAAAGGAGCTTCAAGGAGAGTTTGCAGATAAAACTTTGCATCACCAACCCCCAAACCCTTGCAACAGCATCTGAACTCGGGTGCAATCACTGCCAGGAACATGCCCAGGTGTTCATTCCCACATTTCCTGAAGCACCAACTCCATCTGCAGGTGTTTCATGGCAAGAAAGAGAGATCCAGAGATCAGTTCCTGGTACAGGTGAAAAAAAGGCAGCCTGGGGCCACACAACTTGCTGCAGTTGTAGCTCCATGGAGAAAGGGAAAAAAATTAAAAAAAAAAAAAAAAGAAAAAGAAAAAAAAAAAGAAAAAAAAAAAAGTGGTGTCATGTTCCTGTGCCTCTGGAGAGAAGAAAGGTTAAATATCCACATGGGAAAAAGAAGAAATGCTGTGTAAAGGTGTGGGGCTACCACGGGGACCCTCATCCATCAGCAACTCCCAAACCAGAAGTGATGGTGAGAGTGAAACAAATTAAACAAGTTCTTCCTATTTAGAAAGTTACTTTCAGCAAGCAATAAAATCATTTCCTCAGTCTCCCGGGCTGGGTGTGGCCTGGGAGCCACCAGCCAAGAGGCAGCTAATGCCTTTCCATTTTAAATTAGCTCATAGCAATGTCACCCTGACCTTACACATCACTTTTCAAACAGCCCTAAGCCAAACGCTGTCTCACCGAGCGGCCGCGGGCTAATCCCGCCGGGCTGCCTCTCCCTGACCCCGCCTGCGGGAGCGGGACCCGTCCTCAGCCCTCAATCCCTCCTCCCTCGGGCACACGACAGCCCGACAATTACACAACTTTTCCCTCCGCTCCCCGAGGATCCTCGTCTGACCGCAGCTCGTCCCAGGCTGCGCCAAGGGACGGGCTTTAATGCACAGGCTGAGGAGGTGCCAACAGCGTGGGCGGTGAAAACACCCACGGTCCATAATCATCCGTAAGGAAATTCCTTTATTCCCTTTTTTTTTGTTCTTTTTTGCTTAGTGCCCTCCGAAGTGCTGCAGCCTTAGAGATCCAAGAGATGAAATCTTGGAAGGACCAATCTCATCACCACAGTGCCAGATTAGACTCCATCATCCCAAAACCAGAAGGCTGAACAAACTAGGAAGTCCTCTGGGGGCTTTCCTACCATTCCCTTGGTCCTCAAACTTTTGTGATTTCCAAAAGCACAGGTTTTGCCCAAATGTTCAATACCAGAAGAAAGCACCAGGGAAATGCTACTCAGTGGGAGCAGAGAAGTTACTCAAAGCATTTCCTTCTCTCTGTCCCTCACAGTTCTTCTCTCCCACATAATTCCATCAGGTGAGCTCTAAGCATTCCTTGGAAAACACTCCACACAAATTCCCCACCCTTCAGACATCCCAATGTGTTTCACAACACATCTGCCCCCAAACAATGCTGCTCCATCACACACCAGCTTCCACAAGCACCCCAAAAACCCCACAAGTGACACTGGGGTGCCAGCATGGATTTCCAGGTGTTCCAGGCTCCCTTCCAGGACCCAGCTGTGCCAACAAGAACCGTGCTGGATGCACAAATCCCAGTCCCAGATCCCAGCCAGAAGGAAAAGAGCTTTCCCCTCATCTCCCTCAACATTTCATCTGCCCCTAGCAAAGACCAGCAGAAATTTAAAGCTGCCCAAATCACTTCCAATCATTCCATTCAATCCCAGACAAACTGGGAAGGGGGCAGAGGAACGGGCTGGGAGCAGGCTCCAACACATCCTTACCTTCTCCTTGTGCTCCCTTCCAGCCAAGGAAAGCAGTGGCAGCAGCACAGGCTCCTGGGGACAGAGCTGGGCTATTTGTGAGCTCCTAAAGCCTTAATTAACAAGCTGCAATTTGAAGGTGGCCAATGAGAACAACCCTGCTGAGCTTTAATCTCCCCCTGGTTCCTCCTCCACTCCCTGCTCTCCTGGCTGGCAAAGCTGCAGCCAGCAACCCCAAAAGGCTGAGGGGTGCCAGCCCTTGCTGGGCTGGGATTATGGAAAACAGCAAAGCTGCTTCTGTCCCTGCAGTCACGAGGATTTTGTCTGTGTAGAATCCTGGAATGGTTTGGAAGGGACCTTCCAGAACATCTAATTGCACACCCCTGCCATGGGCAAGGACAATTTCCACTGGGCCAGGCTGCTCCAAGCTCCATCCAACCCGGAACACTTCCAGGCACTTTCCTTCTGCAGGAGCACTGCTCTTCCTTTGGACCAAATCCACACAGCTTCACGAGCACAAAGACAGGAAAACTCCTTCTCCTGCTCACAGATCAAACCACGCCCACAGTAGGACCCCCTCCTTCACTTCACTCCCTTTTCCTTCCCCAAAATACTCACAACTAAGAGAAAAGACACCTGGGCTGTGATCACACCTCACTTCTTTCAAAACAGCTAAAAATAAACCTAAAGACTTGCAGGTGTTTCCTGCTGCCTCCCTGGTGAATCCCTTCTCTTGCTGCAGATCTGCAGGGGAAAACTGAGAGGGAACAAAAGGCATTTCCACTCCCATGGAATCCCATCCTGGGGCTGGGGCCTCACAGGAGCAAAGATGGCAAACTGGGAATTTCACGGATTATAATCCCACCCCTATTTTTAGCAGGGTTGTTATAAAGGTGCCACCCCCACCTCTGTAAGATTTGGGACAGGTTCCAAAAAGGGAGAGACAGATAATTCCCTGCTGTGACAGACAAGGAATTATCTGCAGGGAGGTGCCAACCTTCCCGTGATTCCATGAGGAGCAGAGTGTCCCACAGCAGCACAGAGCTGGAGCTCAGCCACCTTTTTCCTGGAAATAATTACCTACAAAGCACTAATTAGCCTCTCCACTGGCTGCAGCCCTGGCTTGCAGGGAGTGGCGATGCTGCAGACAGAACACAAACCACTTGCTCCAGGTCACTGCAGAAATCAGGGAGGTCCAAGCCCATTATTCCCAGACCATGTCCTCCTGTAAACCAGGGCAGCTGAACCCACCAGGAGGATAAAACCAGTTAACCCACCTGGGAAAACCTCTAGAGAGGTGAAGCTCACACAGCTGTGGTTTTACCATCCACTTCCCCACACGTGTTTGTTTCAGGATTCCTGAGGGATGCTTATCCTCACCCAGCCCCACAGACTCCACAAGCACATCCCTGTCTGGATGATCCAACCAGGGACACCTCAGAGCCACCCTGGAGCAGCCATGGGGACCCGGTGTGGATGTTGGGAAGGGCACACAGCCAGCCCGGGGACAGCCCCGTGGGGCTGTGACCTGTCCCACCCCCTCAGCCATGCCACATGGATAACACAGATCAGGGGGAGCTCAGCCTCCCCGGGGTGTGGGGGATCAGCACCCCCAGGTCAGTACCTCAGTACCCTGGCATCCCCAGCTGAGAGACTGAGGACCCCCATGGGGCACTCAGCAGCTTGGGACCCCTCAGAGGGGCTGAGGGCCATCAGTCCAGGACCCTGTGAGCAGCTGAGCATCCTGGGGCCGGCTGGACACCCTCAGCCCAAGCCTTCGTGAGGGGCTGAGCACCCCAAGGCCAGCCAGGACTCCTCCATGCAGAGCCCCCAGGAGGGGCTGAGCACCCAAGGGCAGCCACGACTCCTCCATGCAGAGCCCCCAGGAGGGGCTGAGCACCCAAGGGCAGCCACGACTCCTCCATGCAGAGCCCCCAGGAGGGGCTGAGCACCCCAGGACCCCTCAGGAGAGGAGCCCCGCGAGGAGCTCGGCACCCCAGGGCAGGTTGGGCCCCCTCAGCCAAGGGCCCTTGTGAGGGGCTGAGAACCCCAGAGCCGGCCAGGACTCCTCGTTCCAAGCCCCCGTGAGGGGCTGAACGCCCCGAGGCCACTCAGCCGAGGACCCCTGGCAGTGACGGAGCTCCTCGGGCTGGTTAGACCCCCTCTGTCCACGGCCCCTGTGAAGGTCTCGGCGCCCCGTGGCCGGCCGTGCCCCTCAGCCTCCGGTCCCCGTGAGGATGCGAGCCCCGGCCCCATCCCCGCTCACCCGCCCGGGCGATCCCCGCCCCGCGCATCCGCCCGAGGATCATGAGGGGATGGGGGGGGCGGTCCCGGCAGCCCCCGCGCGCGCCCGCCGCCACCGCCGCGCGCCTGACGTCACCGCGGGGGCGGGGCCCGGGGGAGGTTGCGCGCCGTCACGTGAGTGCGGGACGGGCAGGGGGGGGAGGCGTGATGGGATTGAACCATGACGGGGAGAGGGGGGAGTTATCATGGAAGTGACCCATGGCTGCGCAGGGGGAGACGTGGTTGGGCTAAACCATGGCGGGAGTGGGGGGAACCATAGTGGGGCTGAACCAAGGTGGGTGTGGGGGGAGGCATGATGGGATTGAACCGTGGTGGGCTGAACCATGACGGGGAGAGGGGGAAGCTAGCATAGAGCTGACCCATGGCTGGAAGGGGGGAGACGTAATCGGGCTAAACCATTGCGGGAATGGGGGGAACCATAGTGAGGCTAAACCATGATGAGGGCGGGGGAGACGTGGAGCTGAACCATTGCGGGGGTGGGGGGAGCCATACCATGGCGGGAGCTGTCATGGGGCTGCTCCGTGCTGAGAAGCGGACGAGGGAGCTTCACAATGATGGCGGCACGGCGGTGTCACCCCACAGCCACCCCAGGCCCTTTCCTTGTCGCCAGGGTGTCCCCAGGCTGTGTCACCTACTCCGTGCGTCCCCCCCCGGCGGGCTGCGATGGCGGCGAGCCGGGCTCTGAGGTGAGCGCGGGCTCTCAGGTGACCCGCGGGGCAGCGGCGGCGGCTCTCCCGCTGAGGGAGCGGCCTGCCGGAGCTCCCTCACGGTGACACCGCCTCTCTCCCACCTTCCCCCGCCAGTGCCCTGCTCCTCCGGGCCGCCGCCCGGCCGCCGCTCGCTGCCAGCGCCCGCAGCAACTCCAACCGCGCCGCCATCGGGCACCTGCAGCGGCAGCGCTACGGGCGGCTCTACCCGCTGCTGCTCGTCGGCACCGACGGCTCCACCGTCCGCCTGCGCTACGGCGAGCCCAAGAGGATCCTCATGGTACGGGGACAGCGACAGGCTGGCAGCGTGGCTGTCACAAGGGGGCTCACACCCTGTCCCGGGGTCTGGGAGCTCGCAGCGTGTCCCTGGGATCGCAGCCTGTGGGCTGGGGGTGTCACAGCATGTCCCTGGGATCTCACCCCATGTCCCTGGGAGCTCACACCATGTCCCAGAGCTTCACAGCATGTCCCAGGGAGCTCACACCGTGTCCCTGGGATCTCACCCCATGTCCCAGGCAGCTCACACCGTGTGCCTAGGAGCTTATACCATGTCCCTGGGATCTCATCCTGTGTCCTGGGGGTGCCACAACCTGTCTCTGGGAGCTCACCCCATGTCCCTGGGAGCTCACACCGTGTCCCTGGGATCTCATCCTATGTCCTGGGGGTGCCACAACCTGTCCCTGGGATCTCACAACCTGTCCCTGGGATCTCACACCATGTCCCAGAGGTTTCGTGCCTGGTCCCAGAGCTCCACACCATGTCCCTGGGAGCTCACACCGTGTCCCTAGGAGCTTATACCATGTCCCTGGGATCTCATCCTGTGTCCTGGGGATCTCACAACCTGTCCCTGGGAGCTCACACCGTGTCCCAGAGGTTTCATGCCTGGTCCCAGAGCCCAACACCGTGTTCTGGGAGCTCACACTGTGTCCCTAGGAGCTTATACCATGTCCCTGGGATCTCATCCTGTGTCCTGGGGATCTCACAACCTGTCCCTGGGAGCTCACACCGTGTCCCAGAGGTTTCATGCCTGGTCCCAGAGCCCAACACCGTGTTCTGGGAGCTCACACTGTGTCCCTAGGAGCTTATACCATGTCCCTGGGATCTCATCCTGTGTCCTGGGTGTGCCACAACCTGTCCCTGGGATCTCACACCATGTCCCTGGGATCTCACACCGTGTCCCTGGGATCTCACACCATGTCCCAGAGGTTTCATGCCTGGTCCCAGAGCTCCACACCGTGTTCTGGGAGCTCACACCGTGTCCCCAGGAGCTCATACCGTGTCCCTGGGATCTCGCCCTGTGTCCTGGAGGTGTCACACCACATCCTGGGAGCTCATGCTTGTCTCTCGGGAATGTCACACTATGTCCCAGGGGTTTCATGCCGTGTCCTACGAGTGTCACACTGTGTCCCCGCGGTCTCATCCCGTGTCCCCAGATGCCCCTGGACAGCAACACGCTGCCCGAAGCCGAGCGCAAGGCTCGTCTGCGCCGCCACTTCCCCAGCAAACCTAAGGCCAAGGAGGAGGAAACCTTCGAGGGCATCGACCTGGACACCTACAAGAAGTTCTGGAAGAAGTGAAGCGCTGAAACCACAAGTGTTTCAACGTATAAATAAAAACATACATAAGTACAGCCGTGTGTGGGCGGTGCGGCTCTGCGGGGCTCCCCCCGCGCTGGGCGGCGCGGTGGTACCGCCCGTCTCTCCCCCCTCCGGCGGTGCCCGCGGTGGTAGCGGCGGGGCGGGCGCGCGCTCGGCGGCCGGAGGTGCGTGAGGGGAGCGGGGGCGGTTTAGGGATTTGGGGATTTTGGGATTTGGGGGCTCCGGGTGTGACCCCGCGGGTCCGGCCCGCCCGGTTCTCGCATTTCCCAACTCGGAGGGGTCCGGGCTACTTTCACACGCCTCGGGGACGGGCAAACTGCAACCTCAGGCCCTGCAGCTTCCCCCGGCCCTGAACCCCTTCCCAGACCTGAAAGTCTCCCCCAGGTAATGCCCCACCCCGGGCCGTGCAGCCTCTTCTGGGCTGTACAATCCCTGCCCAGCCCTTCTTGCAGCTCATCCCATCCAGGCTGTGAACCCCCTCCTGGACCCTCCATGAACCCTCCCCCTTGAAGCCCAGAACCCCCATGCGGGCTTTAAACCCTTCCATCAACGCTGCAATCTCCTCGCAGACCCAGAGCCTTCCCACTTCTAGTCCTGAACTCTCCCCCCACAGGCTGTGAGTCCCCCTCGCTCTGCAGCCCCTTCCCAGACCCTGAAAGCCCCAAGCTGTGACTGCCCCTCTGCTGACCCCAAACCCTGCTTGAGGCTCTGGACATCCCCCAAACTCTGAACCCCCCAAGGCTGTGAACACCCTTGGGACTGTCCTAACCCCCCCTCCTCACCCAGCAGCCTCCCCCCAGGCTGGGACCCCCTCCCACCTCCGGGTTACAAACCCCCCTTCCAGCCTGTACCACCCCCACAAAGGCCTTTGCTTACTCCACTCACCCCTGGGGAGCCAAACTTGCTTCCCTGCGCCTTCAGGAGCCCCCCCAGAGCTGGGGGAGGATCCGAAGTGGGTAAAGCCAGGGCCGATCTCTTTGCAGGTCACCAGAAGCCCCCGAATCCGCTGTGGGGTGCGGCGCCATGTTCGGCTCCTCCCGGGGCGGGGTCCGGGGGGGCCAGGACCAGTTCAGCTGGGAGGATGTCAAGACAGACAAACAGCGTGAGAATTACCTGGGTAAGGGCTGATCCTCCTCCAATCCCACCCTCCCTGTCCTCTCTTCCACGGTTTTGGGGTGTGATGATGTTGAGGGGGGGTCACTGTTCCCCACAGGGAACTCCCTGATGGCGCCGGTGGGGCGGTGGCAGAAGGGCAAGGACCTGACCTGGTATGCCAAGGGCAAGAAGGACACGGGCCCCCCGTTATCCCGGGAGGAAGAGCTGGCTGCAGTCCGCCTGGCCGAGCAGGAGGCCATGATGGCAGCACTGTGAGTCCCCACCCCACAAAAACCCCAAAAACCAGCAGCTGCATGTCCACACACGGATCACCTGCTCTTGTTTTTACAGGGGCTACAAGAGCTTGAAGAGGCAGCCCACGGGTCTCAGCAAAGAGGTAACAGGGGCACCACACGTCCCCGCAGTGTCCCCTGGGCTCTGATTTTGGGGACACACACAGGACACTGTCCCCCCTCCCCACAGGACCTGGCTGAGGTGTGCAAGAGGGACGGCGGTGAGCGGGACGAGAAGGACGTGGATCGGGTGGTGGGTTTGGGCAGCTCCAGGTAAGGAGAGGGAAGGATCCCACACCAATTTCAGAACAGTTTGTTTGATTTTAGTGGTTTTATGATTTTTTCTGTGGTCTCTCTGCAGTGGCAGCGCTGGCAGGTTGATGCTCTCCAAGGAGGACAGAGAGGCGGCCAAGATGGGGCTCTCAGTCTTCACGGTACGGTGCCAGTCACGCTGTCCTTGGAAGGTTCAAAAATAGATGGAAAAAGGCAAAAAGCAGTGCCCCTCACTTGGAATACTTTATCTAAAAAACCATTTGGGTATTGTAGCACAGAGACTGCAGGAGTTTCCTGTGTCCTGTTGGCACAGAGGTTGTTTGTGAGGCTTTAATTTGGAAGCAGCTGTTAAGGGTATTCTAATTTTCCCCCAAAAGTTAATTTAACTTTTTTTTTCTAAGTTTAATTTTTAAAGGGAGAAAAACCCTTTGTTTTGTAATTACAAGCTCATGGATTCACTCTGTATTTTTCCCCCTCTCCAACCCTAGCACCAGAAAGTCTCCAGCAGCCCAGAGACATCTGTCTCCAAGAAGAAGCAGGAAAAGGAGGAGAAGGTGGAAGAGAAACGGTGAGGATTTTTCCCACTTTGGTGGGAGACCACCAGAAACACCCTGGCTTTTATGGGAGATATTTTACAAAATGTTTCCACGGCTCTGTTTGGCACTGGGCTTGTTTTGCATCTCTGAATCATCCCCAAAAGCCTCCGTGGGCTTCTCTTTGGCAAAGGAGGGATGTGGTGGGATGTGCCTGGAAAAAGGGATGGGGATGAGTTTTTGGAGCCAGAGGGATGCACAGTGCAGGGATTCTCATTGCTTGATCTCTTCCCTGCAGACCTGAGAGCAGCAAAAAATCCAAAAAGGAGAAGAAGAAGGAGAAAAAGAACAAGAAAAAGAAGAAACATAAGAAGGAGAAGAAGAAGGACAAGGAGAAGCATTCCAAGAAGGATGCTGCCCCATCATCCTCTGATTCTTCCCCAGATCGGGATAAGAGGTAGCTGGGTTGGGATGGGGCATCAGCAGTGCAAAACGGGAGGAAGGATGCCCATTGGCATCTCCTGCCTTTCCAAAAGGGATGCTGGAAACCCCCAGAATCACCTTGTTGGCTTCCCCTCTATCACTGCTGTCACTTCCCCGCTGTCCCCGCAGGCACCACCGCAGGAAAGCGCAGCAGCGCTCGGAGGCGCCGCGGCACGGCAGCCGGCGGCGGCACGACACGGAATCCTCGGCGAGCAGCGGCAGCTGCGGCCGGAGCCCCGCTCGCCGGCGCAGCCGGAGCAGGGACGGCCGGGGCCGCCACCCGTCCCCGCGGAGGAAGGGCAGGAAGAGGAGCAGGTCCCGCTCCCCGCCGGCCCGCGGGGTCCGGCAGCGCCACGACACCGACTCGGAGGACTGAGAGGGAGCCTGGGGTTGTTTCAGGGACATCTTGCATAGATTTCTATTTTTTAAGTGATTAAATTAAAAAGGCCGCAGCCCCGCGGGTGCCGGGGCAGTGTGGCAAAGGGCATTAAGGCTGTGGTGCCAGCAGCCCCCTCCCTGCCCGCCCAGGGGCAGCAGGGCCTGGGCACCCTTCTCCTCACTCCCTGAAATCCATCCAGGCAGGATTGAGCATGGAGGATGCTGTGGGTGAGGGCTGGTGCTGGGGTGGTTCTGGCTGTGGTGCTGAAAATGCTGTGGATACCTCGTGTTTATGGGTAGAGACTTTGGAAGAGATTATTATTATTGTTATTATGATGGGGTTTTGTCTTCTTTCCCTGCCCACGAGTGCTTGCCAGTGCAGTGGCTGAAGAGTTTCTTTCTTTAAAGATTCCCTAAGTTCATCAGCTGCACGGATGGGAGTTTAAAGCTCATCTAGTCCAATCCCCCTGCCATGGGCAGTGACACCTTCCCCTGGGCCAGGCTGCTCCAAGCCCTGTCCAACCTGGCCTTGGACACCCAAATAATTCCTCAGCTTATGGGGAGAAAGTGGATGGGACCCGGTGTCTTCCACGGGCTTTTGCTCTGGCCACATCCCCCCACCCCAGGGAGCAGCAAACTCCATTCCCATCCAGGACTGAAACCCTCAGCACGTGATTATTTGTGTTCTTGGCATACTGAAAGAGGGGAATTTGACACCAATAAATAGAAATATTGATCCAAATGGAAAGGGGGTGTCCCCAGCAGCTCCGGAGCATCGCTGCCAAGCACAAGGGCCTCATTTGTGTAATTAATGATGCAATGGAAGACAGGGGGGGTTTGTGTGTCTTGGTGGACAAAAGCCCAGTGGCACCGTGCTCAGGAGCTCACAAAGCCCTTCTGTCCCAGCAGTGGGAGATGCTGCAGAGCTGTCACAGCCTTCGGTGATCCCCACCCCAGCACGATTTTTGGGGCTGACAGCCCCTTGGCACCAGGGCTGCTCCTCGTGGCCTGAGCAGCTGCAGCTCCTGATCCATCCCAGGGATCCCCAGGACACAGCTGGGGCACCCCAAGCCCGTGCACTCCCGGGCCAGGAGCTCTGCCCCTGCTGGTGCTCACCAGGCTGAGCTCGGGGTCACCTCCATGGGATTCTGGGATCCAAACTGTGGCTGGAGCCTGCTGGGAACACCCCAGAGGACTGTGCCTAATGGGAACTGGGCAACAGGCTGGAAAGGGAGCCATGGGAGAGTGGAAACAGCACAGCAAGCAAAGAAACCACAAAGCCCAGAGTCCTGCTCCCTCCGTGGGCTCCCACATCCCCCCTTCACCTCCCAAGCTTTGGGATGGGCTGGGCAGGGCCAGGGGCACCCGCAGCTCCCCGGCAAAGGGACAGGGTGTGCAGCGTGGCAGAGGGGCTGGGCACGGCGGGCCCAGCTCAGTTCAGCTCTCCTGGGCCTTCTCCTTTCCTGTTTCACACTCAAACCAAGATCACTGAAAAACACGGGAAGCCAAAACTGAGTGGGCAGAGCCCCATCCCTGCTCACCCCAAAGCCTCCCTGTCCAGCAGAGTTCCTGGGGCAGTGGGCAGGATCCTTTGCCCTGGGCTTGAGCCACCTCCTGCCCAGCTGCTGGGTGGCCAAAACTCCAGGCTGAGAGCCTGGGACAGAGCAAAGCCTGTGCTGCCCGGAGCAGAGGGCAGAGCACAGCTCCCACAGCATCACCACATTCCCTGTTTTCCACAGCAAATTCTGGATGCAGAGGAGCAGCATCCTAACCCAGCTGGCCCTTCAAGTTCAGTTCCCTCCCAGAACAGGAGTAAAGAGCTGTCCTGCTCTATTAGGGATGCAAATATCCTGATTCACAGCTTGAAATTCCAAGGTGGATTCCTGGCTTGCAGAGGGTTTGTGATCCCAGTTTGCCCAGTGCTATTTACCCTGTACTCCAGCCCCAGTCCCTGTTACCCACCCAGAGTCCC